TATAAGCTTACCATTTGCGTAATATGATAAGTATCGACTCAAATTTTTTCTATTATTTCGGAAGAAATAGCACTTACGGTCTGCTTTCGGATACCACATCCATGATCGCTTTTTAAAAAATAACAATTTCATTACAACATTAAACATATTTTGTAGAGAATGCATTAGGTCAATGTAGATGAATGCAATATCAATAGCTACAATGCGTGAAATAGCCAAAATTTTTAAGCAAAATCCTGAAACATATACAAATCATGATTATGTATGTTATTGCTGAATGCTTTTATAAGAAAAGTTTTTTCATATAAAGATGTGTTAATTGAATCGGAATTTAACAGATTTTTAACTACTAAAGTAAATTTATTGGGCCAATGTTTGGTTAGATACTGTAATTTCAGCCGGGGCGCCCTGGTCGAAAAATGAAAAATAGCAATTTCTACTTATGTTCCGTCTTAAATAAATTATGTATAATAACCAAATCGTTAATTCTAATTATCAGGCAATCAATTAGTCTGTCATTTACTGAGATAATAGAGCATATAATAGACTAGTAACTAAGTTATTATCGCTCGCTACAGGCCAGTTATTAGGTAAGCTAGATCTCAACATCGTTATGATTTCATTACAGGGAAATTCTTTGAGAATTTTTTATTTATTTTTTGTAATTATTATATATTTTTTATTATAACAATATGGATATCAAAATTTCTGAGATTAAACAAAGAGAAAAAATCTGAACTATTGATATGGATGAGTCAATAGGAGAGTGGAAAGATAGAATATGGAATGATTATTTGGAGTATAAAGAAAAAAATTTTTGTAAGTAACGAAAAGGTATCAAAAATGCCAAATATAATGAATAATTGCATATCAGTTAGTAAAGTTGACAATGGTTTTATATGCACTAAGCCTTGTAAGTATGCTATTTGTTACAAGTATAACAAATTATTATATTAGAATATGGGAGATGTTGATGATAAGGAAATTCCTGAATGTATATATCGTAATATAATGGTTAGACATCAAAGTATATGCGAACCTGTAAAATAAGCTGGTCTATAAAAATTAAAAAACTATTTATTCTTGACATTGATATCACAGTAAAGTTATATAAATTCTGCTTAAATTATTGATCGTGGCGGGGACCAGCTTTATTGTTATAAAAAAAATAAAAACAAATTACATTTCTACTCATTTACGGAGTAAAAACTGTTGAACTATCTTCATCACTATCATTAATTCCAGAATTAAATAGCAAAGACAGGTCAACAATCAAAATTCTCTGTAATTAAAAAGGTTTTAGATAATTATTTTTAGATAATTATTTTCAGAATAATATGACCGTAGAATATAAATAAATACATACTCGTAGCAACAATAAAGCTTCTATAAACTTAAATATAACTTTTCTATCATTTGTATATTGTATCGAAATAATCACTAATCCTGGTTTAGTTTTTATTCCACCCAACTTGAAAAAGGTCATTCAAAATATGAGTGAGAGGATACAAAAGTTGGAGAATAAGATTCAAGATTTAATCAATGAAACTCAAAGTAAGGATTTTGTTTTCTAGATCTTTCAGGTTTTGCATTTTTGTACTAACGGCTTATTTTTAGACAAAAGATTAGATGAGAATGCAGATGAAGAACTTCGTGCTATTAGGGTAGATGATGATCTGGTTAGATAAGGATTATATTTACACTAAAGCGCAAAAGAAAAAATATGTTAAAGGTGATTCTTCTTGGAGAAGATTACAGCAGAAAATGAAAAATGGTTTCTTCGTTATTGGTGCTCGAAAAATGGTTGCTTGATTGCGCAGGTCTATCTATCTTGTATAGAAATAAAGACAATACGTATTACCTCGAGGTATAGTTCAGCAATTGCTAGGGCATTCTAATTCCGAATAAAGCTAGATACAATTAAGATCCTTATGATTTATTATAGTGAAAAGAATTATAACTATTATTAGAAATAGTAGCATCGATTCATAGTCAAGAAAAAAATTATTTATTAAACTTTTTACTCTATATTTTAGAAATGAAACTATTTATTACAGTTATTTAGCTACTCTTTTTATCTAAAAGCTCATTATCCCAAAAATGTGTATGTAGCAGTCCATAGAATTGTTACTACCCTGAATATTATACAAATCTTGTTTATTGTTTCAAAGGAAGATGTGCCGATTTGTGTTAGTCCGATGACGATTGCCCCTTAAAAAAATGTTTTGACGGCGATTGTGGTTGTAAGACTGATAATGATTGTCCAGGGGTATTCTCTTTCTGCTATCCAGTCCTAGAGAGAGATCTTGGAAATTGTAAATTATGCAAAACCGATGATGATTGTGCTAAAGCAGATATGCTTTATGGAAGATTTTGTGTGAATGGCAATTGTAAAGTTTGTACTAACCATAGTCACTGTAATGACAGATATATTTGTAGGAATAATGGTTGTGTGCAATGTCAAAAAAATTTTGATTGTCCTTCTTTTTTAGAAGGATATTGTAATACTGAGCAAGGTATGTGTTGTACTAATCCCAATTGCACTTGCAAAAATAATTCTGATTGTTCTGAATATTTTCCAAATTGTATTTACAAAAATTTCTATAATGTGTCCAGATATCAAGGCTGTATTGGAGATAGTGGTTGTCCAATTGGCCTATATTGTAATAATAATTTTTGCTGTAAAAATGCAAACTGCTCCTGTACAACGAGTTTTAATTGTCCTCAAGCTAGATATTGTACTAATGGAACATGTAAAAAATGCCCCTTCCACCATAATATATGTCCATGATGATAACAAATATATTGATATTATAGTTTTTAACTTTTTACCGAGAAGCTTCATCTTGAATTTTTGGTCTTTGGTATGAACTCGACTTTGAAAAAATAGATTGGCTCTCTTTAGCTGATGATCATAGAGGAAGAGTCAGGAGTATACCATATTTCTAATATCTCAACTAGTCACTCTCTTGGATATAAATAGAGTTTTCTTCATTACTTGTTTGTACTCTTTGGTTTATCCGTACTTCCTTTCTTTTTATTGGGAAAACACAAGATTTATAAATGATTCTACAAATAAAAAACTTCCGATCCAGCATTTATTATGAATAATTCTACACTTATATCGCAATCCAAAATAGTTTGATTATTCTGAATGAATCAAATACTTTTATCTTCGATTAATATACTTTTAGCTTTATCTAAATTTTGTGAAATCTTAATATTGGTAGCTGCCATAGCAATTTAAAAAGTATACTTGGAAGTATCACCTTACGCACGATAAATTATTTATGTACCCCTAAAGAATATATTATATAAAAGGCTGATAATATATCAGATTGCGCTACTGTCTGTCTGGATGAAATTTCAATTCGTATCTTACTATAAAGTCAATATCCAATCTATTTTTGTGGATATAGTAGCTATCAGCACGCAAAAGATCCGATTCGAAAAATTTCTAACTATATCAAAAGAGAGAATGCACTGGTCAGATATAGAGAATAAGGCGTTCGGAATTGTTTATCCTTATAGTTAAATCATCTGATATTTGCAGAAGTCTTAGAATGCCGATTTCTGAATTTTCGGTAATCTACCTTAATTGCATATTTTTATAGTCTAGTAAAATATCTCACTGCAGTCATCGAAAGAAGATGAAATATAGATTTTACCATCCCATTAATCAGTAGAAAAAATGTTAGCTATACTCTATAGGGAGGTAGTATCACTATCATTCAAGCCCTTAATTATGAGGATTTATTAATAGAGTATTAATACACTATTAATGATAAGAGATGTTGGGCAAATATGGCTAAATATTTTAACAAGATATCTTTCTCATAAACTAGAAAAATACTTGTCCATTACTCATCATAATAGATTGATTGTGAAAGCTTTCCTATGAATCAACTATTAAGATTAGAGGAATTTCTTCTCTCGTACTATTTATCCCAAGTAGTAAAAATGATACTCATTTATATATAAAAGAATACAATACTTTCTAACCTCAAATAAATCGCAAGATCGATTGGTAAATATTAATTATAAAACCACCTGATACCTTTGTTAAGACTTAGAATTTAGCTAATCTGGCCATAGATGTCATTCTACATTGATTACCATTATATATAATTGAAATAGCCAAACTTATTAAGTTTCCATTTTTTTAAATACAAAAGAAAGGCAGATTCAATGTTCGAAATTTAAACTTTCTTTAAAGATAAGCGAGTTTCTATAGAGGATGTACTCGCACCGATGCAAAAGAGCCAATGATCAAGTAATTATTAGTTCACCACCAGTTGTATAGAAATTCGTCGAATAATTTCAGATAAATTTAGAAGATCAAGCTTAGTAATTCAGATAATTTTCTTTCAAAATTTAGTGATAAAAAATAGGATGATCAGTAAATATTACTGCCCATATCTTTGCAATACCGGAAAGGCTTGTGGAAGAGCTTGCATTCACTTTGAAGGTTGCTGATTTCATTGGAAATTAAAAAAAATGGGTTCCATGCTCTGATTGCAGGAAGTCTACTTCTTTAGCTTGTGAACAATGCCTGTTAAATATTAGAGGTTATTATGTTATTCAGTATTATGATAGGCTTCGAT